AAAAAAAAAAAAAAAAAACACACTAGTTAACACCATACCAAAAATTCAAAAGCATAAAACCAGTGAGCTCATTTCCTTCTACTTGAGAGGACAGTTTAAGGGGGGGATGGGAGGGTAGGAAGACATCTTAACATAATCCATTTCCAATCTGGGCCATTCCATCTAGGAAACAGCACCGGATCTGGAAGCAGACCACCAGTTCATAATCATCTGTGCCATCTTCTTGGCTGTGGGATGTAGGTCAAGTCATTTAAGCCAGTCTCATCATTGGCCGCATTTTACCAGTGGGAAAACGATCGGTTCACAAGGTTTTGGAATGGGCGAGGAGGGAGAGGGCTTCCTCAAGTGGAGAGCGTTATACAGTGTTTTCAACCTTGTCTGGTTTATAGCCACCAACGTAACACAGTAAGGATGAACAGCCACAGCCCACAACAACGGGTTCATCAGAACCAATGACACAGACGGGGCCTTGTGCAAAGACTGTACAAGGCAGTCCTGGCAGCTTTTACGGGGCACACCTAGGGGACTGTGCGTAGGTGAAAGGTCAATTCCTTGTCCAGGCTAACCGGCTGCTCCTACAATTGATCCCTCCCAATCTGGCACTCTGCTCCAAGGCGCACCAGGGGTCACTCACGAAGTCACGGCAGTGATTCAAGGGACACTTCCGAAAAAGGTGAGACACTAGAAGGAAGGGCAGAGCCCCAGTCAATGCCAACAGCCCCGCGAAGCCGCCACTCCGGGCTCCAATCTCGGACGCTCGGGGCAGATCCGGTCCTCCCGGGCCCCGCGGCAGAGGCTACAACCCCTGCTGGCAACGCCAATTCCACCGGCTGCGACCCCAGGGGTCACCTCGCCAAGCACACTCGTGTCGCTGGGAAGGATGGGCCCAACGGGGACACCCAAGGAACCGCTCAGGCCTCCCCGAGACCCCGAGGAAACGTCTTCGAGAGAGCGGCGCCTGGAGTTCCGCCCTCACCTGACAGCCCCCTCCAGGCCAGTCCTCATCCTCCCCGCTGGGTCCCTTCCGTCGCCTCCTTCCACACCTCACCGGTCTCCCGCCGCCCCCCGCCCCGGTCTCCCCTCAGGCAGGCGCCGAGGGCGCAGCGGGCTGCGGCCCGGCCGAGCCCAGTTCGCGAGGGCCTGGACCAGGTCAGAACCCGCCGAGGACGCGGCCCGAGAGGCCGGGAGGAAAGCAGGCCCAGGAGGGCGCCGCCCGCTCACCTGCCGCAGGTCGGCTCCGCGCGTCCGCCGGGCCCGTGTCAGCGTGCCGGTCAGCGACTCCCTCAGGCGCTGCCGCCGCAGCCGAGTAGGCGGGCGCGAGGGCGGGGCGACGTGGGCACGCAACGCGGGGCGGGGCCTGAGGAGGCCACGCCCCTTAGAGACACGTGGCTCCTTCCGCGGCGTTGGAGACCAACCTGGGCTCATCTGGGGGGACTTGGGAAGCTTCAGAATGAATGCTGGTAATTAGCAAGAGCTACGCACTTTTCTTGCCCAAAGTCCTTTCATTCTCTTACATCCGCTCAGTGATGGAAGAAATCGGGTTGTCAACCTTGACACCTCCCTCTGGGTCACTTGCCAGTTCCAGCCATTGACCAATCCTGTGCAGGGGGCAGGGGGGCCACAGCAAAACCTCTCTTTCTGCTAAGTCCCCCACTGCTTCCAGCCTTTTATCTGGTCTCCCTGCACTTCCCTTGCCCTATTCTTCGAACAGCAGCCACAGGATCTTTTAAAAGCCCTTATCAGATAGTTACCTTCTCTTTGCTTAAAACCGTCACACAGGCCGGGCGCGGTGGCTCACGCCTGTAATCCTAGCACTCGGGGAGGCCGAGGCGGGTGGATCGCTCAAGGTCAGGAGTTCAAGACCAGCTCTGAGCAAGAGCGAGACCCCGTCTCTACTAAAAATAGAAAGAAATTATCTGGACAACTAAAAATACATATATAGAAAAAATTAGCCGGGCATGGTGGCGCATGCCTGTAGTCCCAGCTACTGGGGAGGCTGAGGCAGGAGGATCGCTTGAGCCCAGGAGTTTGAGGTTGTTGTGAGCTAGGCTGACGCCACGGCACTCTAGCCAGGGCAACAGAGCCAGACTCTGTCTCAAAAAAAAAAAACCGTCACACAGCACCTTGTTGCTCCGCATTCATCCTTGGCTTACTCTGCTAGTCCTCCCCGCCCCCCAACCCACCAGGCTGGACTATGCCACCACCTCTTCAGGCTCATCTCCTGCTGGGCTCCACCTGCCCTTTCTGTTCCAGACACACTGGCTTCCGATTGTTTCCTTAACCATCTGACTGACTACAGATTACACAATTGGTAATAGCCAGTGATGGCAAAGGTGTGTTGGCAGTGTTGGTGACAGTTATTGGGAAAGAGGTGTCCATGGAAAAAACAAGTTCCGCCAAAATATTTAAAGAGGTTTATTCTGAGCCAATATGACTGACTGTGACCTGGAGCTTCGCAATCCCAAGAGTTAGGGAGAAAGTGTGCCCGAGCCAGCTAGGTTAGCTTTTGGTTTTATACATTCACTGAGACAGGAATTACAGGTAAAATCATAAATCAATGAATGGATGGTACACATCAAAGTTCAGCCCCAAAAGGCGGGACATCTCAAAGTGGGGGCTTACAAGTCATAGGTAGGTATAAGGGATTCTGGTTACCCTGACCCTGGGAGGCTACACTCAATTGAACCTGGGCACCAGGGCCGGCTCCAGGGGCGTGAGACCCCATGCAGTTGCGCAGGGTCCCATGTTCAGAAAGGTCCCATGCTCAGAAGGGACCATGCTTGGTTAATGCTCTGCTGTCACTTTCTTGAGATTCTTAATGATTTTTTTCTTTCTCTTTTTCTTTTTTAAGTAGAGATAGGCTCTCGCTGCTGCTGCTCTTGGTCAGGCTGGTCTTGAGCTCCTGACCTCAATCAATCCTCCCACCTCGGCCTCCCAGAGTGCTAGGATTACAGGCTTGAGCCACTGCTCCCGGCCAAATTCTTAATAATTTTTGAACAAGGGGCCTCAAGTTTTCATTTTGCACTGGTCCTGCTGGGTACCTTCCTGTTTGGCTCTATTTCATTAAAACAGAGATCTCCAAACATTTGATTTTGTGGTTTAACTCTATGCAACTGAAGAAAAACTTCATTTTTATCAGAGTAATATGTGCTTGGGTTCCATATGGTAGGCATTTATTGAGTTCCTACTATGTGCTGAACATTGTGCTAGGAAGGAGACAGAGAAGGCCAGCTCTAAGGAAGCCCTTGGTCTAATATGGTAGACAGACAATTCTGCCAGTGATGTAGACAGGTGGGAGTGAAATGGGAATAGTTAGCCCAGCCTAGGGGGCCAGGAGGGCTTCCTGGAGCAGGTGATGGTTAAGGAATGAGCAGGAATTAGTCCTATTAAAGATGTTGTGAGGATATTCCAGGCAAACTGCAGCAGTCCCAGCAGAGGCGTAACTAACAGTACGTTATGCAGGAGACTACAAGAGATGTATGCAGAATAAATACACAAACAATATTTTCACTTGTAAATATAAACACAAGTAAACACTAATGTATATTTATTAAAATAATAAACATACATTTTATAATAAATAGAGATCAATATTTTACATAAATAAGAAACACATAACGTTGTGGGTTATCCCGACCACTAGATTATAAGGTCAGGAAAAAAGCGACGGTTTTGGTTTGATTTCCGCTGTAACAGCAGTGCCTCCTCGTCATTTAGACAGTCAATCAGCAAATTTTTGAGTGTTTACTTTGCTCCAGGTACTATTTTGGGCGCTAGGAATCAGCAGTGAGCACGAAGCACCTACTCCGGAGAAGCTGACGTTCCTGGGGGTGGGGTGGGGGTCAAATGAGAAACTGAACGCTCCCATCCTGCCAGCAGTAAGTTTCCAGGAGAGGGCTGACAAGGGCATATTTGAGTTTAGGTTGAACACAAAGAAATCTCACATTTCTGTTAAAAACAATTGAAACGCATTGCAGCACCTTCAGAAGTGAGTGAGGCATAGAACTGCAACAGACACGGGCTCAGAGGGGAAGACTCAGGCGCCTAAATTTAACCATCTGTAGGTGACACCCGATTCAGATGTTCGTGCAAGCTAAAGAGGTCCCTTTTCCCCTTCTCCCCGTCGTCGCCCGCGGCAGGCGGCCCAGAGCGTCCCCATCCCGCACACCCGGCTCAGGACCGCTCCGCGCCGGTTCGCTCCGCGGGCACCCGCAGCGACCTCTGCGCCGGAAGCGGGTCCGGGGCGAGGCGGGGCGGGACGAACCATCGGCCACGCGGGGAGGGGGAGGAGCGAGTCCGGCAAAGGCGGCGCAGGCTCCCTGCGCGGTGGGCTCGGCCGCAGATCGCCCGGCCCCCGCAAGGCCCGCGCCAGGTGGTCTCGTCGAGCTGCGGAGGGGAGAGCTTCGCACCAGGGAACTCGGGGGCCGCGGGACTCCGAGGTCGCGGACGGCCGCCCCGCCCATGGCGGACAGGAAGCTGGTGGTGGTGTTCGGAGCCACAGGTACGCGGGGTCCGGAGGGCGGGCTGCGGGCGCTCGGACCCCCACCGGGCGGGGGCTGGCCGCAGGAATGGGGCGCTGGTCAATTTTGAAGGAGTTTTTTGGTTTTGAGACTGAGTTTCGCTCTGTCGCCCAGGCTAGAGTGCAGTG